CCGAGGCGCGCGAGACTTTGTCGCGCCGTCCTGAAAAGTTCAACTTACTGTCACGGAAAACCTATCTCCTCCTACAGTTTTCAAGCTACAGCAATGAGACATATACCATTCGATTCGTAAAGACCAGGCCTATTGACTCTAACATCACTTTTTTGAATTTCGGTCTGGTTCATTTTTTATATGGGGAAGAAGGGGGGGAGGGGTGAAAAATGTAAAAATGGGAAAAAACGTCATAAAAAAAACTAGGTGGAAAATGAAAAAAAGTGATGTTAGAGTCGATAGATATGGTCTTTACGAATCGAATGATACGTGTCTCGATGTTGTAGGATGATATTTGTGGGAGGAGATAGATTTTCTGTAGTACCCCTTTTTAGCCGTTTTCTATAAATTTCACGTTTTCTATCAATTTTTTTGAAAAATTCATAGCAAAATGTTTTTTATTTTACATTTTACGTATGTATGTGAAGTTTCATGACAATCGGATAATAACTGTAGAAGTTTTCCGTATGCCCGGTCGGTCCCCTTAAGTCTCGTTTCAAGTCGTATGAGGTTTGTTTGGTTATCGTTCAGTTTATGTTTAGTATTGGTTTATTGGTCTGAATTAAATGGGAACAGTGCAGTCAGTCACTCAGTCACTACTAGTCAGTGTGTATAGAGTGTAGAGTCTGGTAGATTTATAGGACATAAAACTAGTAGATCTATTGATAGTGCTGTGCACTGTGCTATCAGCTACAGTCACTACTAGTCGGTGTGATGGTAGATTTATAGGACATAAAACTAGTAGATCTATTGATAGTGCTGTGCACTGTGCTATCAGCTAGGTACCTATCTGTTATGTGACTCTTCAATGTTTAGATCTGCATTCCTGAAGGGTTTTTGTATATTGAAGCCAGTTAATTGGTCAATATTTAACTCGTTACCTTGCTCCATACAAACTTAACAAAGCTAATGAATAGACTTACCAATAATTGTTTACCCAAAAATCCCTAAGTTGTAAACACCACCATGGCCTGTTGGCCATTATTGAAGGCAATAAGTGCCCTTTTTAGCCATCCATTATGATCCATATACTGTTATTGTTAATAGGCTACCTGCAACATAAAAAAATAACACTTCAAATAGACAAAAAAGTTGAAAAAATCAAAAAAATCAAATAAACCGAAAAAATCGTGAAAAAATCAAATAAATCATTGATTTTTTATTTTTTTTTATTTTTTTTTAAATCAAAAAAAATCGCCAACCCTGCTGACTTGCTACAAAACAATATTCTTCATTGAATTTTATTTTTGCAAAATTTGAGCTCTATATGCAGATTGATTTGGCACCATAGAATTAAGGTGGTTTCTAATCTGGTGTATTGCTATAAATTTTGACAATTGCGGGTATAAGCAATTGATTCACAAGCAGTTTTATTAAGACAGAATATTCCTTCTGTCACATTTTCCAGTTCTGGGCTTTTCTGGCACGTATGAGCAGTATCCATGATTCAATAATACCCCAGCCTGAAAATTTTGTTCTTACAGGGAGGAAATAATGCATCACAAAATGGGAGAAAGGGATTGATTGAAAAGTATTTGTTTTATAAATTGATATTTACAGATTCAGTCCAGATAGGTGAATAATAATTTTTTAGATTTTAAACTAAGTCAAACTAACAAATGGAGGTCTATGTTAACTCCTGGGTCTTGGAATAATTTCTTGAAATTGGGACAATGGGGATCTAGAAATTTATTGTTAGCAATAAAGACAGAGGGACAAATTTCTCATGAAACGAAGGTATGAACAAGACAAAACTTATTTCCTGGCTATTATGAAATGAGACAAGGCATAGATTTAGAACAAGGATTCCTAAACATTTCCAGGCTGGTGCCATCTTTGGCTCCCTAGTGAATTTCTAGCGCCCCTCCCCACAAACTCGTATAAAAACATATGCCTCTTTCTTGATATTTAGTACGCTGCAATTTTGAAAGAGGAGGGTTAAACATAAATCTATAATTCACAAATAGACCCCATTTAGTAAACCAATATGTTTTTTTAGCAGTTTTCACTAGTTTCAGCACTAGAAATCGAGATGTCTTGGAAAAATTTATGGTCGGTCTCACAGTCAATCTCCCAATTCAGTTATCAAAGAATATCTCCCAAACTAATTAATGCAACTTGATGAAACCAGGAACACGTTCATTAGGACCTAAGGGTGATGTTTAGCTTGTGAAATTTTATAAAATTTCATCTTCACTCATGAGTTATGGTGATACAGGCCAAAGTTCGCCATAATCAATGAATTTCTTCCTAGCCACTAAACAGATCAAAATAAAATTAGGAAATTACCAAACTGTGATTTTTAGCCTGTGAAAATTTTATATTTCCTCTGTTTGCAAGTTTTTTTTTTCATTTGTCATTCATAATTTCCCACTTGAACTACTGAACATATTTGGAAGAAATTTCGCATATAAATACCTAATCTCTCAATGGTGATGTTTAGCTGGTGACATTTTTTTTCCCTTTGTTTGCGAGTTATACGGATATATGGAAAAATGACTGGCATTTTGACCGGCCGTTTTAATCAAGAGCTTTATACAAATAGCCGTATAACTCACAAACAAAGGCAAAATAAATAAAAAATGCCACAAGCTAAACATCACCGTTTTTGAGGTTACGTATTTACATACAAAGTTTCATTCAAATCTGTCTGTTGAGTAGTTGAGAAAAAATTTCTTGATCACTGCAAATTTAAGCATGTATCACTGTTTAAATCACCAATAAAAATTAAATTGATAAAACTCCTGAACAAAGGCAAAATCAAGAAAAATTTTTACCAGCTAAACCTCACCGTTTGGTAGTTAGGAATGTATAGTCGGAATTTTATTCAAATCTGTTCAGTAGTTTGGACAAAATTCCTTAATCACTGTGAATTTTGGCCAGTATTGCCATATGACTCTCAATGGAGGCAAAATCCAAAAAATTTCCACAAGGTAAACATCATATTAGATCCTAATTAATATGTGTAACAAGTTTCATTAAGTTGCATTCATTAGTCTGGGAGATATTTCTTGATCATTGAATTGGGAAATTAGCCAGGAGACTGGCCACAAGTCCGGCCATAAATTTGTCTGTGACGTAAACCCAGGAGAGGGTAAAAAGCCCAGATTTGGGTGGCAAAATCCATCCCTGGAAGTCCTGTGCTGCACCTGTTGTGTACAAATTGTCAAACAAATGTTCAAACTTCTGACTTCAACTTTGGATTGCTGCCCCCCCTACTGATTCCTTTTTCCTCACTGCCTCCTTAGATCTTTCTACCACCCCCAGGGGGGTGGTACCTCCCACTTTTGGTACCACAGATTTATGATGTGGTTACTCCCACAGATTGGGAACCACATCATAATGAGATGCAACACATCTTCAATATTTGACATGAAACAAGACATTTCACTGCAACACAAAACCAAATCAGACATAGAAATCACATGGATTAAGGAATAAATGTTGGTCCTTGATTGCTAATGGGTTGTGGCCAGTTATGGGAAATGGGAGGCATGGAGACCTCGGGTCAGACCTTGTCATCAGCCAGCAACATAGATGGTAGTTTTTTAGGAGATACGACAACACACTTCTTAGATGGCTGAAGAATACTTGTAAAATGTAACTATATATTTTCAAATGCATCCTAAGATCAAAAACCTAGTATTCAAAACATCCAAATTTCTAACAGGAGTTATTTTTGATAGTTGTTACATAAATAATAATTTGTCCATCATTGATCAAACAGGGCAGGATCCACTAGTTTGCAATTGGTTGTTGGTTATCCTGTTATCATTGACATTGTCTAATGCGAGGGCAAAAATAGCAATCTTATTGGTGCTGGACAACAAGTCAATGGAATGTTACTTTCTATGCTGCATTGCTTATGTAATTTAATAAATGCCTGTTATTTTGATGTTGTATTTGCCTGTAGGATTATGGACCTCTGGTAGAATGCTTGTTCTTTATGAATCGGGGAACTGCATGGTGGCCCTGCCCTGTAACGTCAGAAAATCTGGTTATACATATTCATGATTTGATTACCAAAAAAAAAAAAGAATTCCAATTCAAAAATTTGTCAAAAATGAATGCGCTAAACCCATCATTGTGGACGAGCTTCATTGCTCTTAAATTGCTTTTAAGCTTGTTTGGAATCAATCATTGAGAGCTCCTATAAATAATAATTTTTTACTTAGTTGCTTCATTATTTTCTATGACTTATTGTTAAAATATCACAAACCCCTGAATAGTCAATATAGTATTCACCGTTGAGTTTTTGTTACACATGGCATATGAAAATTCATGGCAATGATGAATATTTTGTCACAATAACCATAGTATTGAGTTCCAAGTGACGATTCCTCTGTTAACTTGGAGAATTAAATTTAACAAAATCTGCTTTGTGTACAGCTCAAGTTTTAACATAGAGATATATATATATATACCTCCATGCTTTTCACAGAAATTTCATTTCTTGCAAACAAATACTCTTGAAAATCAGATTTATATAATCAAAAGAAGCCAATTGATATTGATGCTACCTTTCATTAGCTGGATGTGCCATGACATGAAATTCTCACCATATTCATTTGGCAGGATGTGCTCTTTTAAGCGATTTTGCTAAATCAAATTCATGATTGAAAGTTAGAACAAAAACCGAAGACCATACTTAATTACTTGCTTTTTTCCTTCCAACGTAGTCCTGCCTGGGTCAAGTGTTATTATATCCAACTGTATTATTTCTTTTGTAAAATAAGATTTCAATATTTTAATTTGGTACGAGTGGCTAGGACAGTTGCTGATCTGAACCCAAGAAATGTTCATAACCAGGAAGCTGCTTGTTAGCAAAATATTTAAATTACGTTTAGTTTTTTTGACTGACCAGTAATTAGGCCTACTGCTGTAAACAGAACTTGACAGTTATTTTTTTCCGTTATGATGAAGTATTCATGATGGTGCAATTAACTCTGTTTGTTGTGCAGACTAAGGGTACCTCATCGTTTGGTCTGCGCCACGTGAAGACACACACGCTGTGTCGGCGCTGTGGCAAGAGCAGCTACCACGTACAGAAGAAGAGATGTGCCAGCTGCGGCTACCCCTGCCCTCGCATGAGGAAATGTAAGCTTGAAAACAACACTGTATGCCTGGCATATAATTCCTGTTAGCTTATGTCAATACGCACATATAACTATCATGGAGTAATAGCGTTTGATTGTCTTGAGGATTTACCATTTTTTTTCTAGGATACTGATTTTGGCCAGTAAATGAATCATTATTCAAGACGTTTGGTATTTTGACAATAGGTTTCAATTTAATTTTGCTTAGACTCATATTCCTTTGTATGTAATCTTCATTCAAATGTGGACAATTCTTAAGGAGCGTGCGTGCATATTAAGGTATGTATTTTTGTGCTCCACAGACAGGTGGTCTGAGAAGGCCTGCCGTCGCCGCACCACGGGCACTGGTCGCATGCGCCACCTCAAAGTCACCATGAAGCGACTCAAGTCAGTACTAGTGCCATTTATTTGCTAAAACATTACGGCTCATAGTTGTAGTTATGGTCAAATGTTGAGATTGCATTCATAATTTGATGAGATTGTGCTTCTATACACATGATAAGACCTTTGAAAATGAGACGTTGTTGTACAATTGTAAATGTATTTGATTAAAATGCCGGCTCTGAGATGTGCATCCATCGCCACGTTATTGCTTGATAAACTGTGATTGTAATTTCTATCTTGCTACTTTTGAAACGGGAAAATGTCAGAATTTGCGCATTTGGTTGATATTAAATTTTATATTATTGCATGCGTCATGCGTGCATTAGATTTATCAAAGAATAGCGATCGCATATATGCTTTCAAAAGCTACGTTATTCACAGAGAACAAACTATTATAATTTATTCATTCATGTTAATTTGATGCGTTTCACTTATGCGTGCGCAAATACTGTAATAATGACGGACGTTTGCAGGGGTGGTTATGTTGAGCGCAAGCCCCGTTTCTTCGCGACGCGCGAGCCCGCCAAGCTCGCCGCCATCAAGGAGGCCAGAGAGACAAAGAAAGCCGCCAAGATCGCCGCAAGGACCCCTAAGTCTAAGCAGCCAAAGCAGACCAAGGCTGCTTCCAAATAAATGAAGTTCTGCTGGGTTATCTCTCTTCATTATCATGAGGTTTCAGAGCTGCAAACTTCCGCTAGTCGGCCTATTTTTTAATATGCCACCTTGAGACTTGATGATGAATAAATGAATTCATTTTTAGTTTAACGTTTTGAGGGGATACATCGTATTGTGTTCTTAGAACTCTAGATTTGTTAAAGGCGGAGGCTTCTCATCGAAAGTTGACAACCTTCGATCGCTCGCGATTTATTAGCTCAGGTCTCTCATGTGAATCATTCTTCAAAGTGTACAGCCAAGACACACTTTTTGTTGTATGCTGATGCGTTCTAGCGATATATCGTCTAATTATTTTCTTTCTCAACTATGAGGAGATACTCCACAGCAAGGAGTGGGTTGGGGTGGGCGTTCGAACTGGAGCGCATGGGTTCCTTTAGTGAGCACTTGGAAGAATTTAGTTTAGGGAAACGGTGCTAATTCCTTAGCGTCTGAGTTAAGGGACTAGGGAAATCGTCATAAGTTCAGCATAATTAGTCATGTTCTGTTTTACACCTGCAGTAAGTGTGTGAAATTCTGTGAAGCGTTTGTATAAATGGAAAAAGTTTTCATCTGTTAGCAGTTTGTTGAGCAGAGCCAGAAGGCGGCAGAGCATTTTATTGCCTCGAAGCTTTTGAGGTACGAGTACGTGTAAGTTGTCGTTTTCAAGAAAGCAGAAAATTTCCTTACCTTCGTAAGGGACAATTTTCATAATGCAGGAATGGGAATAGGAGAGTTTAAGCAGTTGCAGAAATATCGGCCACTATTTATTTTTCAACGACGTCATTCCTTGCTTAATGCGGAAGTACTTATGTATATATTTGCATTGACGAACTCTTCTCTTAGAGCGGCCTAGGATTATTTTTATCTTGCGACCCAAAACAAGACTTGTATTAACATGCATTACTTTAACTTCTCTATAATTATTGTTACCATCCGATGTTGAGAGATATTTTTGCAATATTTCAGAAAAAAAACGCAGGTTGAGTTAAGTTGGACTTGAACACGGTGCATTTTACGTCTCGATTCATTCGGGTCTTGGTATTCATCTGCGCCTTCATTCGAGGAAAATATTTGTAAGAATCGAGAAGTATCTTGGACATGTTACTGCTCCATATAATTTTACTGATAATGTGAATCAAATACTTACCAGTTTCCAAATGCGTGAACCACTGCGTAACGAGAACACCAAAATTTCACTGCCACGAAGAGTAGTTGAATGATGGACAGTGGCCCGGGAGGAAACTGATAGTAAATACCGTCTGTACCGTTGCAAGGCGTCGAGAATACAGTTGTGAGTTCTGCTGATCATCACTCTTGGGCACCTGTCACACTGTTGTTTATGCTGTCTTCTACACTTTATTCCACCCTGCCTTTCATACTGTCTGTCACGCTGTCTTTCGGATTGTCTTTCATGCTGTCGTTCACGGTATCTTTTACGCGGTCGTACACGCTGTCTTCCACACTTTCTTTAAACTTCTTTTTCACGCTGTCTCCCGGAGTGTTGTTCACGCTGCCTTCTGCGCTACCTTTTACTCACCTAGACGCCGTTATTCTTGCTGACTTCTAGGATGCCTTACACGCTGCTTTCCGCACACATTCACGCTGTCGATCACGTTGTCTCACGCTGCCTCTCACGGATTCTCTCTCGCTGCCTTCCCTACTGCCTCTCACGTAGTCTTCAGCGCTCTCTTTCACTCTGTATTTCAGGCTGCTTCTCACGTCGTTGTTCCCGCTACCGTTCACACTAACTTTCACGCTGTCTCACATGCTTGCTGACGACATGCAAGTTTATAACACAGTGAAGAATACAATCGCATAAAATACAGTTGCAAGATGATCTTGACCAGGTTAGTTGACTGACCTGAAACGTGGCAGCTGCGTTTTAATGCTGACAAGTGTAAAGTAATCCACCTTGGCATAAAAAGTGAACATCAAGATAACCGTTTGCGAAGATATGGTTGCAACGAGAGTGATGTCGAAGTTGACAATGGTGAAAGATTAAGTAGTTTATGTCGACAACGACTTGAAATTTTCTATGCATACTGGAGGTCAAATTAATAAAGCCAATAAACGACTTGGACTGATCAGACGCTCATGCGAGTACCTAGATGCAGAAGATATGAAGCAGTTGTTTGTCGCTGTCGTGCGTCCGAACCTAGAGTTTGGAAACGCCGTTTGGTCACCAAAACTAGAAAAGGACAAAAATTTGGTCGAGAGTGTTCAAAGACCTGCAACAAGGATAAGTCTATGATCAAAAGGCAAGCATTATGAAGAAAGATTAAGAAGCTTCCAAGCCTCTGTTATCGGCATTTGCGTGGTGATCTCATTGAAGTATATAAGTATACTAACGGTTAATGCAAGGTCCCAGAAGGAGTCCTAGGATTTGAAGCAAGAACCAACACGGCCACGGCTATAAACTAAAAAAAGCTGGTGTAACACATCCATGCTACAACATTTCTTCTCGCTTCGAGTCACCGATATGTGGAACAGCCTTCCTGATGGCATCGTTGACGCTCCGAGTATGGAAGCCTTCAAGAACAGACTGGAGTCTAGACGAAGCTATGCTGCTGCATAACATTCATATGTTCAGTCTTGACTCTTGAAATTCCTAGCACCTAACGGACTTTGCACTGAGTCCAGCCGCTATCTCAAACAATCGTCAGTTATGGAAAGATCGGGTTCACAGGCATCACTTGTGGAATTAAGTTGCGAAAAGTACAAAAATCGGCAACAGGCAATGGGCCTATTTCTTCAGTGCCGACACTTCTATTCCATGAACGCTACCTTGTGCCACGCCGCTGTACACTGTTGCCCCGTCTGATGCGGTTCCGACTTCCGAACAGTGAACACTGGCACGTAGGGATCGCCTGCCGATGATTACCACTGCCCTGGATGTAATGGACCATCATGATTCCTGCCTTCCGGATCGTATCCTTCAATACTTCAAACCGTCCGTATCTAGGCCGTGGGTCGAACCAGCCCTTGGTCGAACGGCCACTTGTCGAAGGACGATAAATTTTGGAACATAACTATGCTATCTGAAACCTGACCTCAGATGCGGTGAACGTAAAATTACGTGATTTAACGATGCCTGGAAGTCATATTCGATCCGCGGCCTGGTGGTGCACGACAGGTGATGGTCAAGGCCGGAAGAGGACAAAGCCGAGTGGTGCACGGCTGATTGGTGTAGGTCCGGAGAGATCCAAGGCGTTCGATTCAGGGCTTATTGGTGCACAAAATTGGTGGTGCACGGCTGCGCTTCCGCACGTAGTCTTCTAGAAATTTTTGGTAAAGTGGAAGATATTTCTCTCTATTCCCAAGGACTGTACTTAATGTAATAGCCACTCATGATTGAACTGCTTCCTCGTCGCAGCAAACTGTTATTATGTCACTGCGCGATGCTTCCTCGTCGCAGATAGACCTACCGTAGTTCAACCATGATATCCACTTGTGTGGACTGTGGAACACTTTCAGATGCCTTTGCAAAATTATTGAGCTACACCGCATCCTATCCTCTCATTCCTCTGACCTCTGGCTCACCGGATTCGGTTTCTGTTTTCGGACGGATGTGTGTCTGGATATTCACTTCTTGGGACTTGGGAATTTGGGGTATTTGATGCCAATCGTTCGTTTCACTTTACAAATGAGGAAATTCGACATCGACAATTAATTATTTATGGGCCTGATTTATAGCAATGTCATCTATTCATAAGTTTTCTTTAATTCCTCTTACTTTTATATCGCCGTCCTTGAGCGTGAGCTGTGAAGCGAGACTATCTCAGTCTATCTGACTATGTTCCTGCTGATCCTGTAGCCTCGCAGTGCGGAATTCTGTATAGCCTAGTAATATATTCTCATGTCAATATAAGAAAACGTATCGAAAAACCAACCCTACCACCAGCCACCAGGCACCACCGTCCAGTCGTCCACCACGTTACACCACCTTCCAGTCTACAGTACATAGGCTAGTCTGGCTAGGTAGATCAGAAAAATGTTGAAGTTTATGGCTTTATGCTACCTACTATTTTTAGTTTTGTAATATTTCAATTAGTTTTACTGCTATAACATTTTTATGCCATAATGGAAGAATGTCCCAACTCCCAAATCCCAATATTATTATTATGCAATATACTGATTAGTGATTACTGAATATAGGCTAAGTAGGGCAAATAGCAAAAATAGGATTTGATGAAAAGTGAGATTAACTTAGTATAAATATATCTTTACCCTCAACCCTCCTGTCCTGTCCCCTGCTCCCTGCCTCTTGCCTGTCAGGCTGCCCTCTAATTACCCCATTTGAAGATATCACAAAAATATCTGGAGGTCTTACCTAGTAACCAAAGCCATAATACCTATGTCCAAAGCTGATTCCTTAGCCTGACTCCTGAGCCCTGAGTCCTGACTCTGAGTGATTAGTAGCTGTCCTCAATCAAGTTTCGGTATTATTGCAGATTAACTACATCCAAAAAAAAGGGTGTTTTTTTTTAATTATATGTTTTTTGGGGTGTAGATTACGAATCTGAAATCCATTTTTGGCGGTCGGCATCGGAAAACCGATTTTTTTCGCGACTTACTAACATGGGGGTTACGTAACTTACGTTACCCACAAAAAAAAACACCCTTTTTTTTGGATGTAGTTAATCTGCAATAATACCAAAGTTTCAGACTCTGATGCAAAATGATGAAACTGCAAAGCAATTTTCCCTTGGCTCACCTATAAAAAAAGCCTTGATAGTGATAGTTGCAAATGAAAGGACAGTGGGTCATAAGAATCAGCATGGAATAATGGATAAGTAGTTAGTAGGATACTGAGGATAGTAGCCATCAGTGCCAGTGGCCTTGTCACATCAGTATGTAAACTGACTAGGAGTCTGATACAGTCACACTGTAACAGGGTTAGTAGGTTAGGTTTAGCCCTGGCACAGGCAGCCTAGCAGGAATACACTTAGGTACCTTAATATACAGTGTAGCATGAAGAAAGTTAAGAAATCATAGATTTACTACGTACCGTCACCTGGGGCTACTCGGGACGATTTCGAGCGTTTTTCATTCATAACTTCTTACGATGAAACATTTCATAAACAAGTTTTGGCTCATTTTAAAGCTCTTTGCAAGGGCTCCAGGTTTCATAGTGTGGCATAAGACTGATGCCTGGGCCCTGGTGCACAATTCTATATATGACATTCTATGCACAATTTTGTGATGACAGATGATGCACTAATTTTTTGATAAGTGAATTTTTTTTCGCTGAGCAAGGTAAATGTAATCAATATTCTTTGTTTTTAATCAATTTTTTTCTTAACTGGAGCCTTTGCTAACTGAGGTTCTACTGTANTGATCGGTATTATTGCAAAAAATCGGTTTTCCGATGCCGACCGCCAAAAATGGATTTCAGATTCGTAATCTACACCCCAAAAAAACATATAATTAAAAAAAAAAAACACCCTTTTTTTTGGATGTAGTTAATCTGCAATAATACCCATTTGTCTGCCTTTTTTTTCTAAGCAAAATTTTTTAATACGGCAAATATTTTTTTTACTACAGACCTTAGCAGAAGTAACTTTTAAAAATATAATTTTTCACCATTTTTTTCAGGAATTTTTCAAAGCTAGTAAATGTAGTATTTTTGAACTTCATTTATACTACATAGATGGGAAAAATGTTGATGTTCACGCCACTATATTTAGTTTTGCAATATTCCAATTAGTTTTGCTACTAAAACAGTTTTACGCCATGTCGGAGGAATGTCCCGAGTTACCCCGCCCATCCCGAGTAGCCCAGTTGACGGTATATGGGTTAAAGCATTATAGCTTAATCTTCCTGCTGCCATGTTTTTTTGGCTCCTTTTAGTTACTATTTATTACTATATTCATCATAACTGATCAGCATTAATTGTTCTTGGTGTTAATTATAATATTGATTCTTTTACCACATTTATTTCAATACAGAGCAATTAGTGGGAGTATAGGAAATTCAAATGCCTCTCATTGATCTGCAATCAAGCAAGGCTCACTGGTTAGTTAAGCATACAGTAAGATCATAGAAAAGTTATTTGCTACATCCCATATCACTGTTGACATACGTACTCTGCTCACACCTTTATCCATGTTAATGCTGCTTGCCATGCTATATTGTTTGGTTATTACCATACATGACAACCCTGAACCCTAACCAAATCTGCCTAAAAAATATTGCCAAAAAATATAACTCAGTACTCACTGCAGTGATTGACAGAGGGCGCATTTTCTCGTTGACAAAAGCTTGAGGTCATGGACAGACAGACGGATGGACGGACATGGCGAGCACAATAGTGCATTTTTTCCCTAAATGAGAAAATGCGCTAAAAATGACATAATTTTAAGGTCTTCTGTTATCATTTACCTTTCGTTCATTAATCACATATATAGTTGAGTACTAGTATTTTTTATTTGCAAATATATATGTTTCTATTCCTGTATGGGTGCACTAATTTAGCAAAGTGTAACTTATCTATTGTTTTTTTAGGTATATCTGAAACTTATAGCTAAATTTGAGAAATTTAAAAAATGAATACTAAGGTATTTTCATCATCAAGTCTGTTATGCTTAGCATACAGGCAATTAAATCATAGTCTTATAAATCGTTCATTATCCCAATCTCATCATCTCTACTGCAAAGCTCCTCAGAATACTCCACCTCCCTCAACAAAGATCTCCACAAATACAGAAGATGTCTCCAAAAGCGATCCCAGTGGGCAGGAAATTTCTGACTGGATTAAAGACATCCACAAAGAGGATGACAGACCTCGTGTACCATTCAGAAGACAGAACTACCCTGATCCTCTGAGCCGAGTCATTGGTATCCTAACTGACGATGTACGATTATTTTTTGGGTTTTACTATCGTGGTGCAAAGGAGATTTGGCAAGCAATTTCTTCAATTAAACTAGAATATAAGGAAGAGTCAAAATTGATGAAAAATATAAAATCTTCTCTGAACTTGGGAGCCAAGGAAAAAAATGCTTCCACATTGCCTGAAGATGAAGTTCAAAATATGGCCACTCCAGAGGAAAAGAAAATGAATGAATTTTTGCAAAATGCATCATCATCCAGAAACAAGGACAAATCAAGCAAGAAAAATAAGATGAATTTCCTGCAGAAAATTAAATATGGAAAACCTGAATCTTGGCCTTCTGATGTTGATTTTTTAGTGGTTGGGGGAGGAGCCATCGGATCTTCTATTGCTTATCACCTCACAAAAAATGCTAAGGATGGAGTTAGTGTTGTTGTTGTGGATAAAGACCTCACAGTAAGTACTATAGTGTCTAAATATTAGAACTTAATAATTATTATATATACTCTCAAATTGTTTTCACGTTGCAATTTCTTGCTGGACATCTAACACAGGTTTTTTCCATCTCATTCCATTCTGGGGTATTTGAATGAGAATTTCTTTTATTTAGTATTTCCATAACTAATATTATGAACAAATTTCAATTGAAGCAATAGTGTGAAAGTCCTAAATTGATTTGAGTAAGGATTGAAGTATTGCACAAATTGATAAAAAATGTAGGTAGGTATTTGAAGAATCCTTCTATTACATGAACTCCTTAGGAAATGTTAAGCTGGTGAGGTTATTTTTGTGATATGTAGGAAATATGTTTATTAAAACAATTTTTTAACAGTATTAAATAAAATAGATGAGTAGCATACAAGGTTAGTATGTATCATTACAATGTTTTCTGTATGTCAGTATAAGAACTCTTCTACGGCACTGTCAGTTGGGGGCATCCGCCACCAGTTCAGTGTCCCGGAGAATATTCTGCTGTCAATGTACGGCATGCAGTTCATGAGGGAGCTTCCTCGCCTGCTGAAGGTTCCAAATGCCGACCCTCCCTGCGTCAACTTCCAGCCACATGGCTACCTCACACTGGCCTCGGAAAGTGGCTTTGAACAACTCCATGAGAATTATGAGATTCAAAAGTAAGCGTTTGTGATTAAAATCTTTCTAGTATCATGGAGGAGCTCATAAATTAAGGAAAATGCTATTTTGCTATTAATATGCTTATGATATTATTCAAAATGCATTGAAATATTTAATATGTTTCAGAGTACAAAGCATTTTAGGAGATTAACTGTGTTGACGGCATGAAATAAACAAGATTAACAAGTCTAGATGATGAATAAATTATACTATTTAAAATCATGTGGAAAACCATTGTTCTATCTGGAAGGATGATATAAGTGGGAATATTAATTGCAATGAACATTAACTTATTTAGTACAGGTCACCATGAAGAAATAATGCAACAAAAATATATTCAAAGATTTCTAGGCATATACTCAAAACTGAAGATTCATAATAATTGTTGGCATTTTATATTGCTTGGGATTGTCTGGGCAAGTAAATTTCTTGAACCTCATAAAAGGTGTATTAAACTCACTGAATGATAAATTATTAGATTGTTTTTTTTTCAAAGGAACCCAAAACTTTTCTCTTTTTCTCTCATTCTACGAAAGAACGTTGTAATCATGATAATCAACCAATTTCAATTTAGAAATAGTTAAATAATCTTGTGCACATCAAATATAAAATAGTCAAGATGCTGGACGTGCAGCAAATAAAGGAGCGCTTCCCCTGGATGAACACCGACGGCTTGGCTGCCGGTGTGCTGGGCGTCGAGGGTGAGGGATGGTGAGTTGTCCATGAGTGCAGTTTGATTGATAATATTCTTTAACATGCGTAATTAAGGATTCATTCAACCGCAACCCTTGAGCACAGTAGATTTAAGAGATAGTTTTATGACACTTCAGTTTGTTGTGTTGTAGTGTGGTCCTACTCAATGAGGAAGGAGATTATTTGATTAATCATTTCAAAATGTTAATAGTATAAGGATCTGTCTCCGAATGTAATTTCTATGAAATAATTAACAATATATGTCCTGAGGGTTTTAAAATTAAAAAAAGTATGTTTTTTGAATACATGATTACTATTGGATGTGGATATCTCAAGCGATTAATGTACAAACTATTGCTATGAAATAATTAACTTAAAATTACAGTGAGTTGACCTTCATTTTAACAGCTCAATAAAAAATAAAGAAAAACTAGTGTTTCAGGGTATAAGAATCACTAGTATTCTTCTGTATTTCCAATGTGGTGTAAATTTCCAACTCTACTTTGTATTTTGTTCAATGTTATATAAACATTCCAAGTTACTCAGTATAATTAGATTACCATTAAATTGCTCAGTTCTGAGGTTCACGTATCTAATTTTCATAATTTAAAACACTTTTGTTTTCCAAGCTTTGTTATAATCACTAGGTATGCGATTATACCGGGGCGTCCCATACACTATATTCACAGTGCCAGGGTGCAAACACAGAAAGATAATTTTATAAATATATTAAAGAATATAATAATAATGTTAATGTTAATAATAATGGTAATATTAATAATAATAATATTAGTATAGTACGATGTGCAGTTGTGAGTTAGTCTTGGTTGCTCAGGTTTGACCCGTGGAGCCTGTTGATGGCGCTGAGGCGTAAGGCCGTACACTTGGGGGCGCAGTACATCGAGGCGGAGGTCGTGGACGTCAAGTTCAAGGAAGCCCACGAGATGATATCCTACTTGGACGGCCATCCCACCAATGCTGACCTCTGCATCAACCAAGTGTCCGTGAGTCCATGTCAGGCTCCTCATCCTTTTTCGAAATAAGAATATTTATAAATGTCATATTGTTTGACTGCTGCTCCAAGAACCTGTTTCAAGATGTCATATTGTTTGACTGCTGCTCCAAGAATCTGTTTCAAGACAACGTCATATTGTTTGACTGCTGCTCCAAGAATCTGTTGAAGGTTGTCTCGAGTTTCAAGACAATGAGCGTCTCATTATATTTTCTTCTAATGCTGTCTTGAGAAACAAATGTGGTCAGAACGAGAGCTATTAAACCCGGAGAAACTGGAAGATTTCCTTCAGTTGCGCAATGCATGCAGATTAGATCAAGGTAATCACCGGGAAATTCGAGTTTTATAACATTGTGACTAAATTTTCCCGCAATATTTGTTTTAAATTTAGTGCACTTCATTTTTGAAATATTAAAATTCTTTCCGCCCAAAAATTGGTAAATATAAAATCAAAAAGCCCCTGGCTGTCTCGAAAATATATAGAAGAAACTGTTACATTAACCAAACCTGTGTTCGGAGTGACTTGCGGTGTCAGCAATCCGTCCACGCAGAAAATAGGAGCCGTTCCTGCTGGCCAGGCAAGAGATCGGTCCTGCCGAATAATGATGGTCAATAGGACTAACCAGCAAGAACGTCCCTAATACTAACACTAATGACACATTATCAAACACAGATTTCAAACGGGACTATGTTCCATAGTTACAGGAAATAACTAAATCTTACTTTCACTTACCTAATAGAAACGCTACAAGTATACTAGTTAGCAGTGACGGTAGGTAAGCTCCGACTGAGTCCTGGCGAATTACTGAACCCAGCACTAAAGCGGGACCCAATATCGGGACGGCCACGTCACGCGTGTGGCCTTGTGGTCAACCTTATAGGCATAACCTAATAGAGACGTTAAAGCCGCCGAAACTAATTAATCACAAACAATTCTTCCAACAGCCGGAATAAGGTGAATTTCCCTTACAAAAGTATAGGCCCTGGAGGACAGCAGCGTGTTATGGTGCATCACTGTGGTTAATTGCTGTGCAGTAGCGGACGACTGCTGGTAATTTAGAACGACTGCTGGTAATTTGTAGGCATGTTTATATGGCTGGGCATTGTGTGTTTTTTTGAGAAGTACGCCCATACGCCATCGCTGTGCACGTCTGCGTCGAGTCCATATTGTGATATAACAGTAAACTCCTATCAGATTCATAAATATACTGCTGACAATTGAACGAAATTTGAAGCTTCTGTATGGAGTTAATAAATTCAGTTTTTCAGGCATCCTGCATTATATTTAAGAAGTCTGTGACCATTTTTCGATGTATTTTAAATTTCATTATATATGAAATTAATGTCCAATGTGTGGATGTTTTACTGGATATTTTACCACGTTTTTCTTAGTTTCGCTTTGTCTCTGCCTGTCATCAAAAATTCAAACCTTAATTTGGAGCACTTCTGAAGATCCTAGAATCTTGAAATTTGGCACGCATGCTTATGCTGCCTAACAATTCAAGATTTGATCATCAGAAGTAATAATTAATAAATTTTTTTTGGCGCGTTTTTCTTAGTTTCGCTTCGTCTTTGTCGGTCTGTCATCAAAAATTTAAACCTTAATTTAAAGCACTTCAAAATATCCTAGAATCTTGAAATTTGGCATGCATGCTTATGCTGCCTAACAGTTCAAGATATGATCATCAGACAGAATAAGTTTAAATTTTTGTTAATTAAACAAATTAAAAAACGTAAAAATTCATGTTTTGGAATCGAGTTTTTTTGTCAAACATTCAGACTTGCCAACCCTGCAAAATGATTTGAATTGTTAAAATTGCTAAACTAGTAGAAAATAAGTAAATATAAAAAACATTTTTAAAAACCACGTTTTTCTGGGGGTTACAAAACTAAAAACAAGGAAATAAAATATAATAATAAAAAACTTAAAAAACCACGTTTTCTTAACGGACAAAAAAGAAAAACATTAACTCTTACATAACATTAAAGTTCTGTAGAATGTTATGTAATTTTATGTAAGAGTCAATGTTTTTATTTTTTCTACGTTAAGAAAACGTGGTTTTTAAAGTTTTTTTATTATATTTTATTTCATTGTTTTTTGTTTTGTAACCACCATAAAAACGTTTTTTTAAAGTGTTTTATATATTTTTATTTTGTTGTATTTGCTGTATTAAACATGTCTCTTCCCTCAAGTTCAAAAAAATGTTTTTGCACGAGTCATGTTTTCAAATGTATTTTACATATTTATATTTCAAATGTACTCTACACATATTAAGGCAAGTTTGTGTGGTGCAGGTACGGCTGCCTAAGCAAGAAGTGCGCACTAGATTTTCTGTCATTGTGTATTTGCTGTACTATTTATGTCTTTTCCCTTGAGTTTGAAAAAATGTTTTTGCAGGATTTAAATTTTGAAATGTATTTTACTTATATATTTTTCAAATGTGCTCTATACATATTAATGCAAGTTTGTGTTGTGCAGGTACGGCTGCCTAACCAAGAAGTGCGCACCATCGCACCAGCGTACGTGATCATGGCGGCGGGCCACAGCAGCGGCAGCCTCTGCTACGACCTCATGGGCGTCGGCAAGGCCGAGGAGGGCCTCATGGCCTACCCCGTACCCATAGAGCCTCGGTCCGTAGTGTACAGCTTATTTGTATTGACCTTATACTTAAAGTTATGGTTAGTTAAAGTTATGGTTAGTTGAAGTTGTAGTTTGTTAAAGTTATATTTAGTTAAACTTATAGTTACTTAAAGTTATAGTTAGTTAAAGTTATAGTTAAAGTTATAGTTAGTTAAAGTTATAGTTAGTTAATGTTATGGGTGATTATAGTTATATTTAGTTAAAGTTATAGTTAGTTGAAGTTATAGTTAAAGTTATAGTTGGTTAAAGTTGTATTTAGTTAAAGTTATAGTTGGTTAAAGTTATAGTTAGTTAAATTTATAGATAGTTGCATCGACAGGCCAAGGTAGCATGTCGCCGATTCTTCTAATGTACTTTACTTGTCTCGTGGGATCTGAAAACTCGGCATTCGACCAGATTTATCACAAACTGACGTTGAAGCTAAGTAGCTGCTGAATATAGAGCCAGCTGTGAGGGCGGAGGAGGTACGTCTTGTTGATACATGCGTCTCTGCATAGCTTCTTCTCGTCTTGAACTCGGTTCATACTTGGAGAGTAAACGATGTCAGCAACGAGTCTGTTTAACATGCCGGTGACTTGGAAGTGAGAAGAAATGTTGTCGCATTGATAAGTTGCACCGCAGTTTTTAGTTGAAAATCGTAGCCCCTTAGTGCTATGGTGCATCTCCATACAAGTATGCTACGTGTACTGCATGACACCGCCATACACAAGTGTATAATGTGTGTACAGTATGCTACGTGTACTGCATGACACCGCCATACAAGTGTATAATGTGTGTGCAGTATGCTGCGTGTACTGCATGACACCGCCATACAAGAGCCATACAAGTGTATAATGTGTGTGCAGTATGCTACGTGTACTGCATGACACCGCCATACAAGTGTATAATGTGTGTGCAGTATGCTACATGTACTGCATGACACCGCCATACAAGTGTATTATGTGTGTACAGGAAGCGCTACGTGTACTGCTTCCACGCCCCCAAGGGCCCCGGTCTGGCCACGCCCCTGGTGGTGGACCCCAGCCGCGCCTACTTCAGGCGGGAGGGCTTCGGCAACATGTTTCTTGCGGGCATGTCGCCCACTGAGGAGGAGGAGCCTCCCTGCGACAACCTCGAGGTCGACGACGAATTTTTCCTGCACAGAGTGTGGCCTGCCATCGCCCACCGCGTGCCGGGCTTCCAGGAGATTAAGGTGCCATGTTCATGTGTATTATGTATGTATTATTAGCGCACCTTTGAAGTAAACTAGCATTTCCCTGGCTTCTAGTAGATTTAGGTGCCATAACAATATGTATAATGTAATAATGTATATATTATTAGCGCACCTCTGAAATAAACTAGCATTTCCCTGGCTTCTTGTAGATTCAGGTGTCATATATAATAAGGTAGAACTACTCTGACGTGCATAAGACTGTGGACGACACCAATCCACCACGCATCTGACGTTCAAATAACCATTGCACGTTGTTTAAACATAATCAACTTGTAATCAACGTTGTTTCAACATAATCAACTTGTAATCAACGTTGTTTCAACCTAATCAACTTGTAATCAACGTTGTTTCAGCCTCATTTACCCGGAGGGAATTTTGACCCATCAGCATTAATTATATGTAGTTCAGTACATGCATGGACGACTAGTATTGTGGTCTTTGTATTATTGACATAAAGGTTGCTAGGCCTCGTCTCTTTCATCAGGTAGTGCATCATGTTGGTGAAATTTTTCAAAATTACGTTGTGCAACTACCAGTTATGCGTTTTTTTTTCAGAAAGGACGAAATATATACACATTTGGTTAAGTAATAAATACTAGGATAGAATCTTCATACAAATCATAAGTGTGGGCTGCTCAGTAGGCTGTTTTTCCTCTGCTCGTTTTACCTGCTCTTTTTTCATCTGCTTTTTTTCCCCTGCTCTTTTTTCCTTACTTTTTTTTCTCTGCTCGTTTTCCTCTACTCTTTTCTCCCCTACTTTTTTCTCCCCTGCTCTTTTCTCCCCTACTCTTTTCTCCCCTACTCTTTTCTCCCCTACTCTTTTCTCTCCTGCTCTTTTCTCCCCTACTCTTTTCCCCCCTACTCTTTTCTCTCCTGCTCTTTTCTCCCCTACTCTTTTCCCCCCTATTTTCCCCCCTACTCTTTTCCCACCTACTCTTTTCTCTCCTGCTCTTTTCTCCCCTACTCTTTTCCCCCCTACTCTTTTCCCACCTACTCTTTTCCCACCTACTCTTTTCTCCCCTACTCTTTTGTCCCCTACTCTTTTCTCTCCTGCTCTTTTCTCCCCTACTCTTTTCCCCCCTACTCTTTTCCCACCTACTCTTTTCTCCCCTACTCTTTTGTCCCCTACTCTTTTCCCCTGCTCTTTTCCCCTGCTCTTTTTCCCCCCAATTCTTTTCCCCTGTTTTCCCCCCAGCTATTTCATAAATTAATCTGTGGCGCTCATCTCGTGTGACGTGTACACGACGTGTCGCCGCATGCGGTGCCTGGTGAGCAGCTTGCGGTCGAGACCGCCATCGCACTGCGCTAAGTCCATCACAAATTGTAACCTATTTTCTTGCACTACTTCAACGTACCGCAAGCAGTTCCATTTTGGTACCTACTTCTTGTGCTGCTGGAACCGAGCAAATTTACAATTTTTGTCAGTTGAGCGCTTTGTTTTTCATTCATAAGGCTTATTTATGCGCAGGTGCAAGGGTCGTGGAGTGGCTTCTACGAGTACAACGTTTTTGACCAGAACGGCATCGTGGGCTTCCATCCTAAGATTGACAACCTCTTCCTGGCTTCTGGCTTCTCAGGGCACGGTGAGACTTGCTAGCCTCCCTTCACGGCAAATGTGCAACCCTGTATACAACTTCAGTATCTTTAACATCTGCTTTTGAAAAACATCAACATTTTTAGGAATTCGCATGTATTTCGCCCCACAATAGTGTATTTTACTGGCTTTAATATACTTGCATTGAGTCAATCGTGATTTAAATTTATATGAAAGTCATTCATCATCTTCATAATTATGTTTGCACTAAAATATGTGAGTAATTATGATTGACTCACACAATCGGACAAATAAATAAAGAATAGTCAGTTGATATTTATTCAGATTAATTTAACGTGCAACTGGCGTTAATCGGGCCAGTTGAATGAGGAAGCCGAATTCAATAATTCATATGCTGTTGTATAGAAATCTTTGAAGAACGGGCGGTTCAATGAAGCGATATTGAATGCAGAATTTCAAGTTCCTTAATGGTGTTGCCCCGACGGGTCCCAGATACTGAAATGAAAATTACAGTACTTACTAAAACAATTAATAGATCAGAAACTAGCTTTGTAGCAAACAATTCCAAATTATGTATCAATAATCATCAAATACCGGTAACTAAATTGACCAACCTAAGATTTTGGTGCATCTCAGAGTGTTAATGCGTTTAGTAAGATGCAAATCAGAAATATAGATGAAATCAGTTAAAGGAAGGTACTCCAGACGGAAAAATAGAAAAGGACAGTTTGAGATTTTGACTTTGGAAAATTGAAGATAAAGTTATTAAATCGTGGGTCACAGCAAAGGAAGCTAGTTCCTCTGCCAATATCAGAGACCACGTAGCTAATTAGAAACTTGAGATATTAATAATTGAATTGAATATTGATTTGTCTAGAGTACCATAGAAAAAAGTTGTACATAGAGCGTAAATAATTAATATGAAAAAAGCAACATTCACACCAACAAAAAGATAGTGAAACAGTAACCAGGAAGACATATAGAATCTGAAGGTCCTGTTGCGGTGCTGGCTGAAGTGATGGTAGGTGCAGAAATGAATAACTGAGAACTAGCTGCGTTTGAGTTAAGGCACGTTGCGAGATTGAACGTCTGAATGGTATGAATGCTTATGAAGGAGTCCCTAACCTAGCGGATACTTCTACCTACTCAAATTACGTAACTAAACTGAATACAACAAAACTGCGAACGCAACATGAACAGAAAACGACATATAGACAACAAATTTACAAACGACTGCAAAAATTATTAATGGTGGGAAAAATTTCCCACAAATATGCAGTTCCATTTTGAAGCCAATTTCCATATTGAGGTCCAGTGTGCACTTTTTCACGTAGATAAAAATACTGAGCTCTGCGATATACACTAAGAAATTTATTGTTAGAAATCGCATCCCAACGCGTATGCTTGGTGAAAATAAGCGTTTATTTCATTCATATAAGAATTATGTTAATACTATAATAAATCTTATCGCTGCGTTTATTATAACATTAACGTTTCATACAAGTTTGAATATAACTCTGCTGTGGTGCTATGCAGGCATCCAGCACGCGGTGGGGGTTGGCAGGGCCGTCATGGAGCGGCTGGTGCACAGCGAGTATCGCAGCATCGACATGGGGCGCTTCGAGATCAACAGAATATACCTCAACGAACCCATCCACGAGCAGTGCATTGTTTGAAGACCCATTTCAATAACAAAATCTCCATTTCAAGAACGAAACCTCGCTTAATAACGAACATATACGTGTATAGTACCACTCATTTACCCAAGAAAAGGTTGTTCCTTCGAGCAATGTTCAGACGTGGCAGCTCACAGAGCGCGCCCAGTGACAAGTGGCAGTCATCACCAGTGTCGACCAGCGTGATGTGTATTTGCTTTTACCTCCAAGAAGGTTATCTTTCGGATTAATTGATCCGAAAACTAAAGTTAATTTTCGGATCAACTAATACGTAGTACCTTACTGCTTACAAATTTATGCTTTTGTTTGCTGGTGCTCATTGTAGTAGGGTGAACTCCTCTAAATGCGTGATGGGGCGTCTTTTTGTGAATTAGATTGCAAATTTGACTTGGTCGTTATTTTAAAGTTAGACACAACATCTGGTCTACGAGATGGCAGGAGAGAGGATTAATTTTCTGTTCCCTGCTGAAACATTATTCTAATTTATCAAATTGAGACCGACAAGATCTTTGAACGTATCGTTGTGTAGCATCTGGTTCTTAAAGGTCTTTGTATTGAATTATATCCTGAATTCTCCAGTGTATGAGCATGGTAAATGTTGATCATTTCTTAAATTTCGTTCACCGAATGCCTGTGGATTTTGAAGGCTCGTTTTGCTGTATAGTATGATTTAGAACAGAATTTTTCCGTGCCGGATTTCCCTTGTTGCTTTATAACGATTATTTTATTTTATTTCGTCACAGGGATTAACAGTTCTAAGTTTCTTCTTATTCCTATCCTACTACAGTGTTAAATTCTGGTTAATTCGAATGATAATAGGCAACAAAACAACGAGGTTGTCACTTCTTTGCGTTTGATTATGATGATGACATCCATCGTGTCTACGTTAATGACTATGTAATGAATGCGTAAATTTTCTTACCTGTACAATTTTGTTATAAAAAGTTCTGTAAATATATCTTTGTTAAATTTCGATTGCATCGAGACGTGTCTATTCTTGTTGATGGAAAGATAACGACATTATAAGGGCTTTTCTGTGACCAACCTTCTTTTCCCTCTTTTATGTTAATAATTAATCAATATTGTGGCGTTCTGAGCTCTGCATTGCGTACTGTCAACTTTTTTCTCTAAAGCTGCCGAATTTGTCTCGCCAAGCATGACAGCAATGACATGGCTTGCGATGTTTCTGCCTGTGATGTATTCCTGTCTTGTCTTGTCGTGTACAGACTCCGTGGTCTGTACACGACAGCCGCGGCCCTTTGTCGTGTGCAGACGTGGGCCCCCAGGGGGCAGTGGTGTCCTCATCACTGTAGGGAGACGTGGCCCCAGGGGGCAGTGGTGTGGCCAGCTGGCCATCGCTGTAGGGGACGTAAGCGACCCTCGGGACCCTCCCCAGCTTAAACTTTAGTGGCTAAACCGGGCCGGTGTGTAGTGCTCCAGACAATTAATTTCCGCGGTATTTTAAAAATTTTTAGGATTTTGGCCTGCTGGTTGCCTGACAAGAATGTGATTATTTCGTAATGAACATTATTCTTGTGGTAAACTGCTGCCTCAGGGTGCTGTAAGTGCTGCTCAGTAAATCAATGTAAATATTAACTATTGATTGAAGAACGAAGTTGCTAATATAAAATTCAATTTCACAGTCTCCAATATTACGTTAAAATTTCATTTGGGTCAAGTATCGCTTTCATGACAGAGTTCGTCAGCGAGTCCTTGATGGTGGTTTGCAATTTCTTCAGAGCCTATACTATCATTGATAACAGAAATGTTATCAGTGATATATTTATGTCTTAATTTATTTATGTTATTTGTACCACTCGGTAGTTTCTTACCGCCGCCTCACACCACCATGTACTTGTCGGCTAATGCTGAATATAATCCTAATATGTAGTATTTATTTCATAATGTCTTGATGCGCTCATAAATATTGGTGTAAGACTGTAAGTTATTGTTATGTTTGCGTTCAATGGCTTTTAATTGCTGCTAAATTTTTGTGTTTGACAATGAACATTCATTATGAACGTTGAAAACTGACCACAAATCGATCATGATTACGAAAGAGTTGACTGTGCGCTCGCTTACAAGTCGGGGTTAGTCTTTATGATAGTCCCAGTTGTGGGGTTCAGTTATTAACATGAAACTCATTGCATTTCTCATCTTTGCCTCCCGTGAGGTTGCTACCCTAACAAAATTTAGAGTCGCCCCAGCATCTGGTAATCCAAATCAGAAGCTGACGCGTCTGCAAATTTTCGCTGGGTAGTAACCTCTAGAGCTGCGGTTATTTAGCGTATTTCTGGCAAAACTAAAGATGCTGCATGAAAGTCAAAACATTGATTATATGAGAAACAATGTTTATTAGTTAGTTTAGTGGCCAAATGTTTACTAGCGCTTCAGCTATTTAGCTATCTCGCACCGAAAGTCAAAGCTGGCTCGAAAGAAGCAGCGTTAGCATCTCAAAGAGACGAAGTGACAAGGAGGGACAGGTGAAAAGCAACAGAAACGAAGACACTCGAACAAGAGGTTGCTTACACGGGACGTCGGCCGCCCGCACGAGAGAGAGACAGAGAAGGGAAATGTAAGGAATCCTACCTACATAATAGCTTAACCCCACAACTGAGACCTGCAGTCAGACACCGCGAGCTCAGCGGTGGGGCGCTCAGGAACAATCCCCCTAGGAACGCGAAATCCCATAGGACTTCTGACGCGCGCAAACACGCGTCAGAAGTCCCCCCTGAGGGGATTGTTTATTGCGGTCACTTGATTAGTGCCTCCTATAAATACACCTCTTCCATGCGACGCTTGATGAGCATGAACAGCAAGTGCATGGCGTGCATACTTGAAGACTAACAGCCATGTAGAAAAATTTTATTTTTTTAACGAAACATTTCTTCATCATGGAACATTTTTTGACTCTTTAAACAGTAACAATACGGGAATGATGCTGCGATAGTTCAAAAAATTTTCGTACATTTTTTAGTCCCCGCGTTATGTGGAAGAAATGGTTTACGAAGATCAAATCGCCTGAGAAAGCACCCCCTGAACCTGACGGCATCCGCAGCATCAGAACCACTAATGTATTTCAGATCATTAACTTCGAGCTTTACGTTAAGCCGGTGAGTATAAAATCCTTATTACAAATATATTATTTGTGCTATAATTTAGAATAAAGTACAAATAGATCTTTCATCAACTAGAAAAACTATCAAAGACATGTATTAAATTTGTATGAATGACACAAAGGTCTTGAGATGTGCATCGTGTATTTCAATCGTAGGCATTCAATTTCCTCGAACCTTTTGGTTCTTGGTTATTTGTCCTTTGAAATAGGAAGCATCTGATATAAATATATATGCATTTTCACATCGAGGCATTTCTTACTCAGCGCCTCTATTTGAAGCTAACCTTGTATCCTTGTAAACGAACATTTTACGAACTATGCACATGAGTGATGAAACCTCTTATCGAGTTGGTGCTCCCCTCAGAACCTGATGGTGATGGCGTTTGGCGTGTGTTCTATTACCCTCAGCGCTGCCTACTTGCTTTATCTCCGCATGAACATGGACCCAAAGACGTATATAGCCATCAGTGAGGACGGAACCCAAACGCTCGTACAGAAGAAATCAAAATGGGAGTGAAATTCCTCAGCCTTCTTTGTAAAATATCAGTCTAATAAATCTACTAATGAACATAATGCCGTGTGAATATCCTAGAGTAACATTTTTTCTTACATTGGAAAGCAGCAGTACTAAAACAGGATTTTACCTTCGTGTATTATTTTGGATAGAACCGCCAGACTCGTTAGGTAGTCGAAATAAGCCACGAGGGAGTGCAGTGATATAAGCTGCCTTGCTTTGAATGCCCTAAAGGCCCGCATGACTTAACTGTTCTTCCCACTCCCGAAGGAGCAGAGACCTGAGACTGATACTTATTTTTTCTGGGCCAAGCTGAGTTAGGATGACCCACACAGGAGCATGAAGTGCATCATTATGTGGACGAAGACAGTCATTTTTCCGAGTGACATCAGAGCATAACCAAATATTTTTAGCCAGTTTCTCAGCTTGAGAGCCGGTGCAAGAATATCCTCATATGTTTACACCTACACGTTGTTTTATGGACTATTGGGGGGACCTCAGGCCATAAAGTTATGACCGTAGACAAGATTACGGCAAAAATTTAATTCTTAAAAAATTTCACATTATTATTAGATTTTTTAAACAACCGCAAATCTGGCCGGAAAACCGGCCTACAAAATGTAGGTGTACAGTATAAGTCATAATTTCATGAAATTAAAATATATTTGAAGATAGATTCGGCTGACAAAGGATCATTTCGACCCTATAGAATTAAATTCAGCGGCGTCTCTCGATTTGAAGGACAGAGGGGGCTAACCATCAACCATGGGGCAAACTGCTAATTAACCAGATCGGGTCGCCTGCCGAAGACCACCACTGCCCTGGATGTAATGGACCATCATGCTTCCTGCCTTCCGGAACGTAGCATTCAACACTTCAAGCCGTCCGTAACTAGGCCGTGGGTCGAACCAGCCCTCGGTCGAACGGCAACTTTTCGAAGGACGATAAATTTTGGAACAGAACTATGCTATCTGAAACCTAACCTCAGATGCGGTGAACGTAAAATTACGTAATTTAACGATGCCCAGAAGTCAGCACGGCAGGTGGTGGTCAAGGCCGGAGGAGGACAAAGCCGAGTGGTGCACGGCTGATTGGTGGATATCCGGAAAGATCCAAGGCGTTCGATTCAGTGCTTATTGGTGCACAAAATTGGTGGTGCACGGCTGCGCTGCCAACCAGATCCTATTGAAGTTAGAAATATGCGATAAGAATTATTACCTATTTTTACCTTATGTTTTTATTAAAACAAAAAACACAACATATGAGAAACAGAACCACTCATAATTCCTTTTACTCATAACGATTTGTATACAATATAGAATATTTATAATTACCAGCAATATGCCGCGATAGTAAATATTTATATTGCAATTTTTTTTACTTCAGTTCATTGCCAAGTAAAACGAAACAATTACTCAACCATACCACTCATAACCTGACACAAGTCCATCAATTCTTTCAGGATTTGCATGAAATTTGGAAGGTAACCAATTATTAACAATGGGCCAAAATACAAATTAATTCTTCAGATTTTAAAGTCAATTCGTTTTCAATCATAACGGAAAACAAAACTTCACAAATTTTTGGCTATCGAACAAAACGCCGGAATTAGAAAAACATTTCATTACTAAAATCGATTTAATAAACAAAACTTGAACATTTTAGTAATTTTAAACACTAAAATTAATATGTCATTTGTGAATATTACTCGAATAAATTCCGCACCAGCGGTTGGCAAATGCTTCCAACGTGATTTTCTTTTCGTGCAGTCTGGTTTGCGGAGAGAGTCAGCGGCGTTCATACGGTAAACAACTTACGATTGTGCTCTGTGATTACTAGAATTCCTCTGAGATTAACGTAAAACTTTCCTCCGTGATTAACGTAATACTCAGAATACCCACACATTTAGACGTAAGCGACCCTCGGGACCCTCCCCAGCTTAAACTTTAGTGGCTAAACTCGGGCCGGTGTGTAGTGCTCCAGACAATTAATTTCCGCGATATTTTAAAAATTGTTAGGATTTTGGCCTGCTGGTTGCCTGACAAGCATGTGATTATTTTATAATGAACATTATTCTTGTGGTAAACTGCTGCCTCAGGGTGCTGTAAGTGCTGCTCAGTAAATCAATGTAAATATTAACTATTGATTGAAGAACGAAGTTGCTAATATAAAATTTAATTTCACAGTCTCCAATATTGCGTTAAAATTTCATTTGGGTCAAGTATCGCTTTCATGACAGAGTTCGTCAGCGAGTCCTTGATGGTGGTTTGCAATTTCTTCAGAGCCTATTATATCATTGATAACAGAAATGTTATCAGTGATATATTTATGTCTTAATTTTTTTTTGTTATTTGTACCACTCGGTAGTTTCTTACAGCCGCCTCATACCACCATGTACTTGTCGGCAAATGATGAATATAATCCTAATATGTAGTATTTATTTCATAATGTCTTGATGCGCTAATAAATATTGGTGTAAGTTATTGTAATGTTCGCATTCAATGGATTTTAATTGCTGTTATATGTTATGTGTTTTACAATGAACATTCATAATGAACTTTGAAAACTGACCATAAATCGATCTTGATTGCGAAAGAGTTGACTGTACGCTCGCGTACAAGTTGGGATTAGTCTTTATGATAGTTCCAGTTGTGGGGTTCAGTTTTTATTAACATGAAACTCATTGCATTTCTCTCTTTGCCTCCCGTGAGTTTGCTACCCTAACAAAATTTAGAGGTGCCCCAGCTTCTGGTAATCCAAATCAGAAGCTGACTCGTCTGCAAATTTTCACTGGGTAGTAACCTCTAGAGCTGCGGTTACTTAGCGCATTTCTGGCAAAGCTAAAGATGCTGCATGAAAGGCAAAACATTGATTATATGAGAAGCAATGTTTTCTGCGGTCACTTGATTAGTGCCGCCTATAAATACGCCACTCCCATGCAACGCTTTATGAGCATGAACAGCAAGTGCATGACGTGCATACTCGAAGACTAACAGCCATGTTGAAAAATTTCATTTTTTTTAAGTCACCATGAAACATTTTTTGACTCTTTAAACAGTAACAATACGGGAATGATGCTGCGATAGTTCAGATAATTCTCGTACATATTTTAGTCCCCACGTCATGTGGAAGAAATGGTTTACGAAGATCAAGCCGCCTGAGAAAGCACCCTCTGAACCTGCTGCATCCGCAGCATCAGAACCACTAATGTATTTCAGATCATCAACTTCGAGCTTTACGTTAAGCCGGTGAGAATGAAATTCTATTACAAATGTATTATTTGTGCTATAATTTAGAATAGAGTAAAAATAGATCTTTCATCAACTAGAAAAACTATGACAGTCATGTATTAAATTTGTATGAATGACACAAAGGTCTCAAGATGTGCATCGTGTATTTCAATCGTAGGCATTCAATTTTCTCGAACCTTTAGGTTTTTGGTTATTTGTCCTTTAAAATAGGAAGCATCTGATATAAATATATATGCATTTTCACGTCGAGGTACTTCTTACTCAGCGCCTCTATTTGAAGCTAACCTTGTACGGTGTCCTTGTAAACGAACCTTGTACGAACTATGCACATGAGTGAGGAAACCTCTTATCGAGTTGGTGCTCCCCTCAGAACCTGATGGTGATGGCGTTTGGCGTGTGTTCTATCACCCTCAGCGCCGCCTACCTGCTTTATCTCCGCATGAACATGGACCCAAAGACGTATATAGCCATTAGTGAGGACGGAACCCAAACGCTCGTACAGAAGAAATCGAAATGGTAGTAAAATTTCTTAACCTTCTTTGTAAAATATCAGTTTAATAAATCTACTAATGAACATAATGCCGTGTGAATATCCTAGAGTAGCATTTTTTCTTATATTACAAAGCAGCAGTACTAAAACAGGATTTACCTTCATGTATTATTTTGGAAAGAACAACCAGACTCGCTGGGTAGTCGAAATCAGCCACGAGCGAGTGCAGTGAGATGAGCTGCCTTGCTTTGAATGCAGCAAAGGCCTGCATGACTTTACTGTTCTTTCCACATCCGAAGGAGCAGAGACCAGAGACTGATACTTACTTTTTCTGGGACAAGCTGAGTTAGGATGACCCACACAGGAGCATGAAGTGCATCATTATGTGGACAAAGACAATCATTTTTCAGAGTGACATCAGAGCATAACCAAATATTTTTAGCCAGTTTCTCAGCTTGGGAGCCGGTGCAAGAATATCCTCATATGTTTACACCTACACGTTGTTTTATGGACTGTTGGGGGGACCTCAGGCCATAAAGTTATGACCGTAGACAAGATTACGGCAAAAATTTAATTCTTAAAAATTTCACATTATTATTAGATTTTTTAAACAACCGCAAATCTGGCCGGAAAAACCGGCCACAAAATGCAGGTGTACAGTAAAAGTCACAATTTAATGAATTTAAAATATATTGGAAGACAGAATCGTCTGACAAAGGATCATTCCGACCCTATAGAATTAAATTCAGCGGCGTCTCTAGATTTGAAGGACAGAGGGGGCTAAGCAACCAGATCACATTGAAGTTAAAAATCTGCGATAAGAATTATTACCTATTTTTACCTCATGTTTTTATCAAAACAAAAAACGCAACATATGAGAAACCGAACCACTCATAAATCCTTTTATTCAGAACGATTTGTATACAATATAGAATATTTATAATTATCAGCAATATGCCGCGATAGGAAATATTACAATTTTTTACTTCACTTCATTTCCAAGTAAAACGAAACATTTGCTCAAATACCACTCATAACTTGACACAAGTCCATCAATTCTTATAGGATTTGCATGAAATTTGGAAGGTCACTAATTATTAACAATGCCCCAAAATATAAATTAATTTTGCAGATTTTAAAGTCAATTCGTTTTCAATCGGAAAACACATCTTCACAAATTTTTGGCTATCGAACAAAACGCCGGAATTAAAAAAATTATTTCATCACCAAAACCAATTTATAAACAAAACTTGAACATTTTAGTAATTTTAAACACGAAAATTAATATGTCATTGTGAATATTACTCGAATAAATTCCGCACCAGCGGTTGGCAAATTCTTCCAACGTTATTTTCTTTCCTGCAGTCTGGTTTGCACTGTGCAAGTTCTTGNAACACCCTTTTTTTTGGATGTAGTTAATCTGCAATAATACCAAATTAAGATGCAAGTTGAGCATGGAGAGCAGCACAAAATGCCTAGCCTACACTACAGGTACTGTTTGAGGTACATGGCACGCACAGCGCACTGAGGCCTGAGAGGTGAGAGGCTGAGGCCTGAGGGCATTGCAAAATTATTCCAATTTAATGAATTCATCCCGTTCACGGTTCACTACAGGTGAGGAAAACATCTACCCTGTTTCCCTGTGAGCCACGAGTCTGCAACTGAATTTTTTGTTCTACTAACAAATTTCTGAGCCATGAGCCTATTTCCCAAATTCCAAGCCGTGAAAAGCCATTCTTGAACTGCAAACTCTTGGCGCCAATGGCACACACACTACATATCACAAATAAGCTCAAAGTTTGCCCTAGAAATAGCAGTTAGAACATTATTCCCTAATTTGCATGCAGTTTAGCTCATGCCCAGGGGAGGAAAAGATCTACTCTGTGAGCCGCGACTGGATTTTTTGAGCCGCGAAATAACGAATTTTCAAGCCGTAAGCCTATTTCTCAAGCCGT